ACTGAAATGATTTAATATGTAAACATCTGAGTAATGCATACATTTTTCAGAAATATCCTTTCTTGAACAAAGCCAGCACAAGGTATCTGAATTTCACATCACAGTTAAGTGTGAAGGGAGTTTAATTACAGTTTATTTATCAGTATTATTATGGTACATACCAGTCCATCTGTTAGCAGCTTCTTTGGCTACTTTATTTGCTTGGCCTGAAAAAAAAATTATATATATAAAATGAAATGTATTTATATATATAAAATTATCTTTAGCTATGTGTACATTTATATTTTTTCATATGAACAAAACTTTTATAAAATTTATATATAAAATGGCTATGAAAAAAGCTGAAATAGTGACATAATATTGTATTTTACAAACTCTTGCAAATTCCTAAGGAAATTTAGGGAGCTGCAGTAATATTAGTAATTAATGGAAAGTCAAAGTGAACAATTTCCCTTTCCTAAGTGTCCATCATCATTGTACTTGCTCCTTTAAAGATAACATGTAAGTTTAAATGAGATGTTTTTCAAAGAACTCACCATACCAAAATACAAGTTAAATGTAATAAGAATTTTACTATACAGGCATTATAAGACCACAATAAGTGTGACTCTAAAAAAAATTTTAGTGATAAGAAAGTAGTCACATAGAAGGAAGGAATACACATCGTGCTATCAAATGTATCTGTATGTATATTATGTACTTCAAGTTAATCTGCACAGCACGTAACAGTGCCATGATTAATGGGACATTAACTATTACTTAAAATGATGGCATTTTAAATTGAAAGATAATTTATATGTTACAAAATTCAGCATACTAAACTATAAAATTCAGTAATTTTTATTTATTTACTTATTTAGGGACTGGGTCTCACTCTATCTCCCTAGCTGGAGTGCAGTGGTGTAATCATAGCTCACTGTAGCCTCAAACTCCTGGGCTTAAGCAATCCTCCTGCCTCAGTTTTCTGAGCAGCTGAGACTACAGGCATGCGCCACCATGCCCAGCTCATTTTTTTTAATTTCTTGTAGAGACCCCCTATCTCTACAAGATATTCTGCTATGTTGCCCAGGTTGGTCTCCAACTCCTGGCCTCAAGTGATCCTCCCCATCTTGGCCTCCTAAAGTGCTAGGATTACAGGTATGGGACACGATGCCTGACCTTCAGTGGTTTTTATGATATTCACAAAATTGTACAACCATTACTACTATTTAACTCCAGAACATTTTTTCATGACCCAAAAAAAAACCTTTGTGCCCCTTAGCACTCACTCCACATTCCTTCTCCCTCCGTCCCCTGGCAACTACTAACCTAGTTGCTGTCTCTTCTCTATGGATTTCCCTTTTGTGTACATTTCATATGAACGAAACACACAATATGTGGTCTTTTAGGTCTGGCCTCTCTCACTTAACACAATGTTTTCAAGGTTCATTCATGTATCAACACCTCATTCTTTTTTAAGCTAAGTACTATTTTACAATTTGCTTATCCATTTATCAGCTGATGGACATTTGGGTTGTTTATGCTAATACGAATAATAATTTTTGTGTGAACATGTTTTCAATCATCTTGGGTATATATTTTGGGGAAGAGATAAATTGTTTGCCAAAGTGGTAGCACCACTTTATAATACCACCAGCAATCTAAGAGGTCCAGTCTCTCCACATCCTCATCACTTATTATTTTCTATTTTTTTTTGAGACGGAGTTTTGCTCTTGTTGCCCAGGGTGGAATGCAATAGTGTGGTCTCGGCTCACTGCAACTTCCGCCTCCCAGGTTCAAGCAATTCTCCTGCCTCAGCCTCCAGAGTAGCTGGGATTACAGGCGTACGCCACCACGCCCAGCTAATTTTGTATTTTTAGTAGAGATGGGGTTTCACCATGTTGGTCAGGCTGGTCTCCAAGTCCCGACCTCAGGTGATCCGCCTGCCTTGGCCTCCCAAAGTGCTGGGATTACAGGCGTGAGCCACCGCACCCAGCCTCATTATTTTCTGTTTTTACATTATAGCTATCCTAATGGGTGTTGATATGGTTTGGCTGTGTCCCCACTCAAATCTCATCTTGAATTGTAACTCCCACAATTCTCAGGCGTTGTGAGAGGACCCCAGTGGGAAGGGATTGAATTATGGGGGCGGGTCTTTCCTGCACTGTTCTCATGATAGTGAATGAGTCTCACAAGATCTGATGGCTTTAAAAATAGGAGTTTCCCTGCACAAGCTCTCTTCTCTTGTCTGCCATCATGTGAGACATACCTTTCACCTTCCACCATGATTTTGAGGTTTCCCCAAACACGTGGCACTGTAAGTCCAATAAACCTCTTTCTTTTGTAAATTGCCAAGTTTCAGGTATGTCTTTATCAGCAGTGTAAAAACAGACTAATACAAGTGTGAAGTAGTATCTCACTGGGGTTCTGATTTGCATTTCCTAATGATTTTGTGCATCTTTTCATGTGCTTATTGGTCATCTGTGTATCTTATTGGGAGAAGTGTCTGTTCATATCCTTTGCTCATTTTTCAATTGGGTTGTCTTTTTATTGTCGTATTATGAGTTCTTTATATATTTTGGATACTAGGCACTTGTCAGATACAAAACTTGTGAATATTTTCTTCCATCCTGAGTTCACTTTTCACTTTTCTTTTTGT